TTCTTTTGTCAATGGGTGAAGATTTCGGAATAGCCACTTTGCGATTTTGTAGTTGGGTGCGCCGATTAATGATACTATCAGTCTTAGTGGTACTTCGGGCTTGTGTATTTTAGGTAGTCCGTAGATTTTAGCTATGTTTGGTTCGGTTTGTCTCAGGGACTTTGCAATATGTCCTGATATTTGTTTCTTCCCCGTAAGACGTTTAAGTACCTTTTCAATATTTGTATTTTGTGTTTTGGTGGCGTCTGCACTAAGGGTTTCGTACGTTGACTTATCTTCTAGTAGTGATAGCATTTTTGCATCGTAATTTGCCCTGTCCAAGATGGCGGTTGAGCCTCCTTTATCTGCAGGAAGGATGACGATGCTTTTTTCTGTTTTGAGAGATTGAAGTGCTTTCTTCTCTTCTTGTGATAACACTGAATAAAGGGTTCGGTTCTTTAAAGCGTGTACAGTGTTATTTCGGATTGTGAATTGTTCATCTTCTGTTAGATTTTCTGTTAATATAATGGATTCTAAATTTGCGAGAAACTCTAGGTATTTGGAATCAGCAATGTTGTATTTCAATCCCATAGAAAGTACTTGTTTTTCGGTTGTTGTGAGATCTCTCGATGACAGATTTGTCACGTTTGTTGGGTAATTCTGGATTGTGTGGGATGTATTGTTAATGGTCATCCATTTCTCCTCTAAAGTGTTTCTCTTCCTCTGTCGTTTAATATTGGAAACACGAGTAATCGTCTCATTTAGAGATTCAAACAAGTGTGAAGGAAGTTTATCCCGGCAGAAATTCATGCATTGTTCTTTAGAGGCTTGGAATTTTTGGAGTCTAAAGTGGGCATTGGAGATGAATGCGCTAAGCATGCTTCTACCATATCGAGATGCAATTTCGTATCCTCGGGTTGTTCTTAAAGCAGGTTTAGTTCGGATAGACTTTGGCAAAATCTTCATTTTTCGGCATCTGTGTAAAAACGTCAACTGCTCCCGCGTTAGACTTTCGCGTATTGCACACGTTTCCCATCGTCTAGCTCTTTTCTGGACAACTCGAAGAGCAACAGACCAAAACGAAAAACTGAGTTAATTGCCCGCGAACTGGCGCGCTTCGAGGTCGATATCGCCCCAATCATTGAAACTCGCTTCTCCGACCAAGGCCAGATGGAGAATGTGGGTACCGGTTACGCATTCTTCTGAAGTGACCGAACACAGGCAGAACGACGC